TAAATTTTTATAATAAATTTTAAAATTTATATATTATATAATTTTAAATTAATTATTAAATATATAAAAAATAAATATTTAAAACTCAAAATCATATCCATACTGAATAAACTTTTTTTTTTTATGGAACATACTGAATAAACTTTAAAAATCCAGTTTCCATGTAATTTAAAAAAAAAAATCTAATCTAATTTAGCTCGTTGTGATTACTTACATTCAAATCTGCAGGATGACGGAGGCGACCCTGTTGCTGGACTAGTGGCGCCACTGAGAAAGGCCGGGGATGAGGGAAGCGTGGCCGTCGTTGTTGTTTGACTGCTCCGCCTAGAACCATCTGTTTCCACGTTCGGAAAATCTTGCTCAAAACCTCCGATGAAGTTGATGTTGCTTCCAGCTAAGCTCGCCCTGTAACTGCTTGCTTTCGTTGAGACCTGCTTGTTTTGCAAGAAGAAAGGCTACATTAATTTGTAGAAGTGTAAATTGCACTTGCTCTTCCGTGGTTTGGGTAGGTGCATTTAAACCCCAAATTATAAAATGTGTATTTAACGTGGGCATTTGAAAATGTATATTTAATTTTTTAAATCTTGAAAATATGCTCTTAATAGTTTAAAAAATATTCCCTTAACTTTCAAATATTTTTAAAATTTTACTTTATCAATATTAATAAACTTGAGGGATTAAGTGCAAAATTTTTGAATCATATGAAAGTTAAGAGCATATTTTCATAATTTAGTAAATTAAGTATACATTTTCCAGATGATTAAAAAAAAAGCATACATTTTCTGGCCACATAGAAGTCAATTTCGAATTTTTATAATTTGAGAATTAATGCACTTATCTCAAATTATAAGTGGAATTTTTTTTTTTTGTAAAAGAATAATTAAATAAAAAAACTCGACTTGTAAAATTTTTTTTTTTTAAAAAAACAGAATAGTTAGTGGCAGAGACTTACAAGTTCTTTTTCTAAATTGTCCAATTTACTTCTAATTTGGGCCAGATCGTTTGACTGAGTTTCGGACCTGCGATGGACCCACATATCGTGGGATTCAAAAATTCGATCCATTAATCTCTCTTTTTCGGCTTCCACTTTCTTGAGCCTGGATCTTAGTTGCCGTTTACTTTCCTGAACGTACCACAATATTATTCAAGACTGTAAGACGAAATGGACCAGTGACGGTAACACGTGCATCAATAATTTCGTAAGTGCCCCACCGTGGGTTCTAAGAAACAACAAATAAAGTTAAAAACATAAAATTTTAAGAAAAAAAAAAAGGTTAAAGAGTTTACTTTAATTTTTCTATTGGGACAAAAAAAAAAAAAACACTCAAATTAATAAAAAAAAGGCCCTACCTTTAATTAATTCTTTCTTCCACCACTAAAATGGATCTTAGTTGTTTACTTTGCTAAAGCTTATGATATCATTTCAAAATTTTGGGAACTAAAAATTGAAAATATGATTTTTTTTTATTTGGTTTCCAAAAGTTAAAATAATTCTGTTGCTAGATTTCACTTGTGCAAAAATAAAGAACGCTAAGCAAATAAACTTTCCATAATAGTATCAAAAATTGAAATAAAAAATAAAAATGATACCTCTTTCTCTAAAAAATGAAAAAAGAGAATTAAAAAAAAAAAAACCCCCCTTTTTCCTTACTTAAGGGGCAAACTTACGCGTTGCTTCTTGTACTTTTCCTTCAATTTGCTATTTTCAATCTCAAGTGTCTCCAAATTGAACTTCATTTCTTGTTCATTTTCCTGAAAATAACACAATAAAATTTTAAAGAACAAAAAGAAAAAATAAGTAATTAGGTGCATACTTATAAGTATGTTGATGAATTTGGGTTTTAAAACTTTAATTCACCAAAACATTGTTTCCTTTAAGGGATTCATTTCACACTTTAATCCTCCATTTTTAGCCTCAATCCCCAAGTGGCTTCAGATTGGATTTCATTTGCTCTTCAAGTGTTTTACAATTCAAGAGTGGTGGAGTAAAAAACAAATATAAGATCACCTAATTAGGAGCAAACTTACCTGTTGCTTCTGGTACTTCTTCTTCAGTTCATCAAGTTTCTTTGATAGAGCTTCATTTTCAGTTTTTAGAGCCTCAAGTGTTTTCGGATTGGACATGATTTGTTGTTCATTTTCCTGAACATACCATCGTACAATCGAAGAGTACTTGCAACATTAAAAAGAGAAATAAGCTCTAGTAGTTAGGGGCAATTCAAGACTTACATGTTGTTTCTTGTGCTTCTTCTTCAATTTGTTAAGTTCCTTTGATAGCGTTTCATTTTCCCTTTTTAGAGATTCATTTTCCTTTAAAAGATTCTCATTTTCACGCTCAACTGTCTCCAGTTTGGACTTCGTTCGCTCTTGGCTTTCCTGAACATACCACAAGTACTCATACATCAAAACTCAAAGCTCATATTTGGTTGGATGAAGTTTTTACTAATTTATCAATATATAAAAATACGTTAAATTAGATAAATATAGATCCTGAGAATAGAGGAAAAACTAGCTAAAACTTAAAAAAGGGAAGTATTATTAGCCATTAAAATAACTGTTGTTTTTTTATTTTAATATTCTTTAAATTAAGGATTTGAAAATATTTTATGTATTTATTTATATTACCCTTAGAAAAAGTTAAAAAATAAATAAATTTTTTTATGATCAAATAATTGATCAAATAATAGCTGATGATAAAATTAAAGTAGGAAAAAAATATTTATTTACCTTAAGAAATAAAAATAATATTTAGTTTGAGATAAACTTTAAGTGAAATAATGACAGCTATTTTAAGATAAAAGAAATAAAAGAAAATTAATAGGATTATGAAATAGTCATTCCTCATTTTATTTTTAATATTCAATAGTTGAATGAACTCAACTTATATGTTTTTTTCTAGTCTTTTTATAGTTGTCCTAATTATTCATCTTCATGTTAATTTAGCTTCATATATATATATATATATATATAATAAATAACGATTGAATTAAGTGAAATTACTTAATAAAAACAGTATATGCAAAGGAATTATAATACCAGAGGTTATAAATATATATATATTAAATGTAAATAATTTATTTAAAACCCTTAGTGGATGTATATGTGATAGAATTAAATTTGGAGTTAAAATTATAATGAGGTGAGGGACTCAGGGACTAAAACTTTATAGCTAAAGCTTAGGGACTAAGTGGTAAAATTTTCTTTTTGTAGAAAACCCAAAACAGATTGGGACTGCAGTTTCAATTTTTTCTTTCTTTTTCCGGGAAACAGGTTCGTCTTCTTCCGCTCGCCTGCAAGGGGACGTAGCTCTAGGGATCGGGTCATACTAGACTAAATCCAAGGTAAATTATCTTCTTAAACTTGAAATTTTGATGATTGAAAGAATAATGGGTGCAATTTAAAAGTTTCTCTCAATATTTATTTATTAAGTCCTCTTTTGTCTCACAAATTCTCACTAGAGGAGAAGTCATTGCAGAGGCTATTGTTCTTAAGTATAGTTAGAGATAATTTATTATTCATGATTGGTGTAATATTTAAGAATTTGGAAACGAAGAGAATGGGTAGATGCGTGGGTTGAGAGATTGATTTTACTGTTGATTTTGGAATTGCTCTTAAATTGTAAATTTGGGTGGCGGCATGAGGAATTTTCAAAGGGAATCATTTATTTGGGTAGTTAGTTTTCAAAAGTAGGTGTTGGAGTGGTCAGGTTTGAAGAAGAATATATCAGGGCATGAGTTATAGAATTATTTTATGTAAGTGCTTGATAAGTATAAGATAAATTTTTATTCAGTGATTAAATTATGTTTATTTTAATGTTTATTTAGGTTCCAAATAACTGTATGGTAATTGTAATTGAAAGATAATTATTGAGTGGTAATTATAATTGAAAGATAATTATTGAGGTAAATAGCTATACCCTCTAGTGTTTTTAAAGTAAATTGATGGATTTAAATGAGTTTTGTCCAGTTTTGATTTATTTATCTATTTATTTTTTAGAGAATGATTTTTAATTAAATGTTTTTAATGATGGAATGAGATGATTTGTGAACTATGTATAATATTTTTATTTAAGTTTGAGATGAGATTTTGGTCATGTGAGGATGGCTAATTTAATTTTTTTTCTCTGATATTGTTGAAATGGTTATTTTTGAAATGGTCTCTTTGTTGTCTTGGCTGTATCATTAACCTTTGTGAAGGTTGAGTTATTGGTATTATGATAGACTCGGAATCTATGATTTGTGTATTGTGGACTATGGATTGTGTATTGTGAACTATGCATTATGTATTGTGGATTGATGATAGAGTATCATTGATTGTGGATTGTTACATAACCATAAAAGATGAAAAATGAAATATTCTTGTTTTGAGGAAAAAATGTCCCGTTATCATTTTATTTTCAATAAAAATTCAGTCTTGTTTTGAGGGAAAAATGTCCTTTTATCATTTCATTTTCAATAAAAATTCAGTTTTAAATTTTTATGCTTGGTTGTGATAGGTATGTATACTACTTACGAAGTTCTTAAACTCACATTTTCAAATTTAATCTCATTTCAAATGAAGAAATATGAGCATTGGGTTTTGTATGAGTATTGAGAGATCGTAAGAGTAAATTGGCAGAAATTTAGCAATAGCTCAATTGGAAACTTATTTGGTTTTATGGAATATGATGTTAATCACTTTCTATTTTGCTTAAGAGATTTGATCTCGTTATTTGGAAACTATTAAGAATTGTTAATAAAATTGTTTATTTTAAAGTTGTAAGGCTACATTAAAACTTTATAACAGATTTTATTGTTATGTAAGTAAATGACATTACACATTTATGGGGTTATTTTATTGATGTGTAACGTTTATTATGCCTAAACATATGGGTTGGGGCATGACAGGAATTCGTTTGAGCTGTATATGGCACACCCAAGTAGTAGGAATGATAATGGCTGGGTAAGGGTTGGGTAATGCATTAACTTTGCTCATTTCTTTAGGGCACGTTTGGAAAACAAAATTGAATAGAATTAAACATAATGTAAGCAACAAGATTAGATTAGATGGGATTGAATTAGATAATACAATAGTCCAATCCTATGTTTGGACTTCGGAGAAAAACGGTTTTGAAATAATTATGTATACCTATTGACAAAAGTATCTTTATTTATAATATTAACACTAATATTTTTCAACATTTAAGATTGTTGTTCAAATTACAAGCTTTTTTTTATTGGCGTTCAAATTAAAAACTTGTTCCACTGTTGATAAAAGATAATTAACAATTAATTTATAATAATTAAAAACTAATTAAATTAATTTCATTAATTAGTAGGATTTGAAATTTTGAATTAAATTCTATCAAAATTATATTTCTGCTAAAAATTTTCTGGTTGCGAGGTACAACAAGAAGGGTCAACGTTTGTCAGTGGTATTACATCTTGTCGTATCGGAGGCCATGGATGAAGTTGTAATAATTCAAAAAAAAAAAAAAAAACCAATAATTCCTACCAATCCCATATATACTTTCACCTGATTGAATTAAATTCTATCAAAATTATATTTCTGCTAAAAATTTTCTGGTTGCTTTACTTAAAAAAATTCAAATGGCGAGAAAATCAATATATACTTTCATTTTCTTTGCTAAGAAAGAAAAGACTAATAATTCCTCAAGTTTCAATGAAATATTTTCACTTTTCCTTTTTTTTTTCTTCTCAAAAACCAAACAAGAACTTCAAATTTCATTTTTTCTTAAGAAATATTTTCTTGTTCAATTTCTTCTCTTTTCTCAAAAACCAAACAAGAACCCAACTTCATTCTTTTTTTCAAAGAAAGCAAACTAGTAAATCTTTTATCAATGAAACATTTTTGTTTTTACTTTTTTTTTCTTTTCTCGAAAACCAAAAAATAACCCAAATAAAAAAAAAATGCTTCAACTAAGTTAAAAATGTTTTTTGAAAAAAAAAAGAAAAAAAAAAGGTCCATCTTCTTCAACAAATATGCAATTGAACCGGATGTGGTCTTGGCCAAGGAAAAAAAAAAAACAAATGTAGTTGCAGGGGATAGCGTTACCGTTCAGAGAAGAGAATCGGCATCGGCTAGAAAAGAGAATGTCTCCGGTGAGAGAAATCGGTCAGGAGAGAGAATGTCACCGGTGAGAGGAGAATCCCGATCGAAAGAAAAGGTCACCGGTGATACAAGATGAGGCAGAAGCTGAGAAGAAGAAGCGTAGATTTAGGAAACTTAATCCAATCCCACCTTATCCCATGGGATTGGTAGGATTAAATTTATTTAATAAGCATCGGATAGGATCAAATGCAGGATAATGCCTATCCCACCCCAAGGTTTCCCCAAACATGAGATTAGGGGGGAGAGGAGAAATTTTTTATCCAATCCTGCACTTCATCCGGTGCTCCAAACGGAACCTTAGGCAAATTTCTACTCTCATCCGACTCATTACCATTTAGGTTATGAGTAATTTACCGGATCATATATTGGTCGAACTTACTTATAATCTACTTACCAGAAAAGATCATTACCTTAAGTCTCTCCCTATACGCTTTATCGTATGCTCTTTTTCTGGCACGCGGGTCTGCAACACTATCTTCAGGAATATTTCTTTTTGAATGATGAGAATCTGCAGATGATAGATCTGCAGGATGACGTTGATCTGATTGTTGTTGCCCCACCTGCTCTGCTCCGGCTGCCGGCTGGTTGATTTCGGTGAGATTTTGTCCTCTGCTTCGATCTATGGAGCTACTATTCCGGAGAAGGCCACTAAGAAATTGGTCAGTGTCCACTGCAATAAGGATAGAATACTGTAAACAAAATGTACCAAAAACCTTAGAGAAGCTAGTAGTTTATTCTTTTACAAATTCATTAATTAAGTAATCCAGGTGTGCATGTTGTGAAATAATCTAATTTAATAGTTTGATAAGGCTTTGAAGAAATTAAAATGGTATTAAACACTTACAACTGTCATTGATGGATTGCCTGTTTTCCCCATCTTCACCACCTCCACAGTGACTACGATTCCTTGGATTCTCCATTGAGTTTTCTCTGTTGACTGAGTCAGGTTGGGGCACATCAGGGGAATTAACATAGTGGAGAGGATGATGGTATTCATATCAGAAAATAAATAAATAAATAAAAATGATCACACTGTAGCCATGCGGGAACATTCAGTGTGAACACTTTGACTTTTGGTCCAAACTTTTGACAAAACCCTCTATTATCGTTAGATTTTTTTATTAAGATATTGAAATTTTTATTGAAATAAATAAATTTTTAAATTTGATAATTTAAGTAATTTAATTATTTTTTTATAATGAACTTAATAGTCACTTGTGTCTCACTTATATAAATAAGGTATTAATATGTTATTATCTATGTAATAAGTATTAATTTTATTCATATAAATAAAGTATTGATATGTTATTATCTATGTAATGAGTATTAACTTGTCCATGTAAATAAGAGATAAATAAGTATTTAATTTATCATAAAAAAAGATTAAATTGTTTAACTTATCAAATTTAA